GATCTTGTACACAGCGGCAAGCTTTGAGATAAACCTCTTTCTTATATCATCGGGACCCCCAACAAGAATGTCTTCAACCACTTTTGCCAAAATGAGGACCAATTTGCCTCCTTGAAGCAGGTAAAAGAGCTGCGGTATGTGCACAACTGCAGTCAGGCCCCCCCCCCCCCCCCCCCTACCTCCACCAACAACCTCACGCCGAACGCCCTCTCTGGCACAACAATGGGGCACGGGTCTTCTTGGGTGGAGCGGATCGGTGCGCCAGCGCTGCACGCGCTAGCGAAGAGCGAGGGGATCTCGGTGACGGCGCCGCTGGCGTCGTTCCTGGACAAGTTTGGGGAGCTGGTAGCGGCGTCGTCGCGCAAGGCGTCGACGCGCGCGCGCACGGCGACGCGCGCGCGAGCCGAGCTGCGCGAGCTGCGGGAGGTGGTGGAGGATTCTGTGCGTGCGGCGTGCGACGAGCTGGGGCCTGCGCGCGCGGACGTGAGCGAGCTGCGCGCCGAGACGGACGTGGAGACGGGGCTGCCGCGCGTGGTGGTGCGCGTGCGCGACGGGAAACGCATGACCGTGCACGTCGGGCGCGCGTACGCGCGCGCGCGGCGCGGATGCACGTTCGGCGTGCGCGGCGGCGGAGGCGGCCCCGCAGAGACGTACTGCCGCGCCGCGTGCGCAAAGCGTAGGTGGCAGGTCTCCGTGGAAGAGGTGGTCGGGATGTGGGTCAGGGCCGCCGCGACGGAGGGAGGCAGGGGAAGGGGAAGGAGCACGGGCAGGGGAACGGGCAGGGGAACGGGCAGGGCTGGGGTCGGGAAGAGGGCGGGTGGGAATAGGTAGGTTTATTCGGAAGGTGGCGGCGGGGGGGCGGGGGTCTTGACGTAGGCGAGCACGCCGATCAGGGCGATGGCGATGGCCGGGATGCCCAGCGGGGCTGTGAGTAGGTTGAAGAAGCGGGACGCGCCCGGCTTGTTGAGCAAGGGCAGGCGCACTTGGTGGCGTGGAGGCGCCATTGTTGGTGTGGAGAGCAGGTGGAAGGGGGGAGTGGCGTATGCGGACGTATTTGGGGTGGGGGCGGGGGACGAAGTGTAGGCATGATAGAAAGGGGTGAAGTGGGAGAGGGCGAGTGTACTGTAGTTTGAGTTTCTGCTTACAGAAATGGGACGCAACTGTAATGTGCCATGTGTCCACGTGTGCACTGTACTTCTGTAAAGGTCTTCGGAAAACCTTACAGAAGTAATGTCCGGTCTTCCTGCTTGAGTCTACGTTTACACTGTAAGGTGTGGAGATGAAAAAGAGTTTTGGCGATGTTTCCGGTGTTGGGCGGGGGTGCCAGAAAGCGCGATGCAGTTAAAGAACGGCCGGCACGTAGAGCCGTTTGGCAATTGCCGCGGCTCGCGTCAGGCGCACCTCATACACACCGTCGCGGTCGCCGGGTGTATGCCGGGCGCGGAACGGGTGGCGTGCCGCCTCTGCTCGTCCGCCGCGCCGCTTTTCGGCACCGCGCGTTCCGCCGCCGTACGGCGAGAAGGTAAGCCGTCACGCGCTTGCGCGTCCGACGCGCGACCCCCCCCCCCGTACCGTACTTCATTTTATTGAGAAATGTACAGTATTTAAAGCACGGTGCATTTCGCGTATGATAAAAAACTTTATTTACAACCAGGGAGAACCGGCAGGGAGAACCCCCCTCCCCCCCATCCGGCCGCGTCACGCGCGGAACGAGTGCACGCGCCAAAGGGCCAACCCCGCACGCTTGTGCGGCCCCCGCACCGCCGACCCACACCCCGTTCCACTCCTGCCACTTCTTTGCTCACGACCCGCCTGCACCCCCGCAGACCCCAGGGGGACAAACCTACATGTGCGTGTACCGCCTCGTTCCGCGTCGCCCATGACCGCCGGAGACGTCAGAAGTCTTGCCCATCTACCCTTCCTCCCTCGCTCCCTCCGCCCTCCCCCTTCCGCCCTCCCCCTTCCGCCCTCCCCCTTCCGCCCTCCCCCTTCCGCCCTCCCCCTTCCGCCCTCCCCCTTCCGCCCTCCCCCTTCCGCCCTCCGCCCTCCACCGCACGCACCCAGACAAGCAACATGTTTTCCAGTATACGCGAGTCGCCGCTGTTTGCGTTCAAGGTATGGTACCTGTTGTACTTTGGGGCGCAGTTCACGCAGCTGTATCTGCCGCTGCTATTGTCCGAGGTGATGAAGTACTCGCCAGCAACAATCGGGCTTCTGATCTCCCTGCGTCGTCTGGTCATCTTCTTCGTGGCCCCAATGTTCACGCTGCTGTGCGACCGCACGCGCCTGCACCGCCCGCTCCTGATCGCCACGCACACGTGCTACTACCTGTGCACCTACCTGCTGATCTACACGCGCGCCCTACCGCTCGTGCTGCCGCTCATCCTCGTGCGCGAGGCCTTCGTGTCCGGCTGCGAGCCGACCGTCGACAACGCCGCCTTCGCCACCATCGAGGACACGGGCGGCACGCACGCGGGCTACGGCCGCCTGCGCATGTTCGGCTCCGCCGGCTGGGGGCTGGCCTCGCTGCTGGCCTCGCTGCTGGTCGACCGCGCCTTCAACGGCGACCTGACCTACGTGCTGCACATCCAGCTCGTGCTGGGCGTCGTTGTCGTCGCTGTCGTCGCCCTGGGCCTCGACCTATCGCCGGCGCTGTTCGAGCGCCAGACGGAGCGCAAGGAGGAGTCGGGCGTCGTGCTGGGGCTCATCCTCGCGTCGCCGCGCGCCGCATTCTGCGCCATCAGCGTCCTCGCGCAGGGCGTGGTGTACGGCGTGCTGCAGATGACGCTGTTCATCTACTTCAAGCCGCTGGGCGTGTCGACCACGGCGCTGGGGCTGTCCGTGCTGCTGTCGTGCGTGTCCGAGGCGTGCGTGTTCGCGTTCGACCGGGCGCTGTGGCGGCGCCTCGGCGGGCCGCAGGCGGCCTTCAACGTCGGCCTCGCTCTCAGCTCCGTGGCTCTGCTGCTGTACGCGGCGATCCCGCTGACCGGGCGGCCGACGCCGTTCCTCCTCCTCGTGGAGATGCTCAACGGCGGGACGTACGCTCTGTTCCTCACGTCGGCGCTCGCCATCACCAACGAGCTGGCGCCGCCCAGCCTGACCACGACGGCGCAGGGCACGCTCTCCGCCGTGTACTCCGGGATCGGGCCGGCGATCGGCTCCGGGCTTTCCGGGTGGCTGTACGAGGCGTTCGGGGCGCAGGCGCTGTACACGGGGCTCGCAGTGATCCAGCTCGGCGTGCTGGCGTACCCGTTCGTGCTCGGCATCGACGTTTCGCAGGATGCCGCAGATAAGCCCGCCGCCGAGGACGACGCCAAAGCCGGGCTGCACGAGGGCTCGCCGCTGCTGGCGCGGGGCGCCACCGCGGAGGCCGACGAGCGGGACGAGCAAGGCGCCGGCGCGCGGGAGACGGAGGCGCGGGAGACGGAGGCGCGCGCCGCGCACGGGGCGGCGGCAGAGGCGGTCTAGCTTTTGTTGCCCCAGGGCCAACCGGGTGAACCACACCACACCATAACTTGTACACTGTAGACTATCTAGTAGATAGTCTACACTTTGGATTCAGATAAAGAGGGTTCACTGTAGATAGTATCTACAGTGAACCCCCGCTATCTGAATCCTTGTTATGTGAATATCCGCGATATGTGCATGCCATTGCTCGGAACGAGCTCCGGAGCGCTGACTGCAGGTCACATACTGTATGAGGTATTCATGAATACGGCCTAACTGAATACCACAAGCACACCTTAATCATAACAGGCCTCATACAAGAGCATTCTATGAGACAAAACTGAGCTATGATAACTTTATTCATTATAAATGTGGTTCAATTTCCAGTTTTCCTGGGCAATCGAAAATGGACACACCTCGAACGCGCAAACCAAGCCAAGCAAGCCAAGCAGACCCGCATTACTCAATATTTTGGTTAAAAATTATGGGATTGTTACATATTTGGGCTGTATATGAAACATCCTTGGAAACTGAATATGCACTTTAATTGAATGCGGAAGGAAGCAACCATCCATACTCAGATATCGAGGGTTCACTGTAGTTGTATTTTATGTCCGGCGCCGTGAGCAGGGAAGGCACAGGTGAGCAGGGAAGGCACAGGGCGGGCGCCCCCGCCGCCACAAGGCCGGCAAGGCCGGCCGGGCCGGGCGAGCGCGGTGCGCATGCCAGGCGGCGGTAGACTCGCACGGCACCCACCCCACGCGGTCGCATGACGAGCGCCGCCGCTCCAAAAACCGCCGCGCGCACGCACATACGGGAGGGAAGTAACAGGATACAGTAAACATTGGCCCGACAGCCGTACACGAGGCGTGCATGGACAGGGCGTTGCCAAGCGGAGCGCGAGCCGGCGGCGTGGCAGATAGACGGATATCCTGGCAAAGATAGATGGAAGGCGGATGCGCTTCGGCAGAAGGAGAGGGTGATAGGCGGATAGATGGGATGGAGGGGATAGACCGAGGGGATAGACACGCGCGTGCCGAGGAAGCAAGAGGCACGCAGGCACGTCACGCACGTCACGGTTTCTGATTCATTTGTATACTGTATTGCGCATGTGTCATTACGCGTACGTGTACATGTGTATACGTGTACACCTGCACCCGTAGGGACGGCGGAGGGTACTGCCCTCCGGAGAGAAGTAGGGGGTGAGATCAATTATTTATCCCGGTGATCTGGGATCACCCGCAATGGCCACGTTCTGGGTCGGAAGCGAGCGACGCTGCAGCGTCTCGCGTCCATGTCGACGCGTCCCTCGGGCGAAGTTGTTTGACGCTGCAGCATGTCACGTCCCTGTCGATGCGTCCTCGGAGCGAATTTGTAGAACCCACAGTGTCCTCCCCGTTGTGTTCTGGCAATTTATGGCGCTGTATGCCTCTGTAAGTCAGCACCGTCGCTCTGGGACACCTGTCCACTACTAACGTAAGGGGAAGGCGTGTACTTACATTAATAAATTAATAAATGACCGGCAAACTCGGGCAAGTTAAGACACACCCTCACAGCATGTAATTTAGCTCTTCGTCAGGTCGCCCTCCGTGGGTCAAAAAACTTTGTTTACAACCAGGGAGAACCCGGCCCTCCGTCAGGCCGCCCCGTAAGCCGCCGTACACGTGTGCGCGACCACCGCCGCCCCTCAATCGCCGCCCCTCAATCTAAAATCACGGTGCATATCGCGTATGATAAAAAACTTTATTTACCACCAGGGAGAACCCGGGGAGAACCCGGTGGTGGTGGTGGTGGCGGCATGCGACCGCCCGCTACAGTGCAGTGAGGCGCTGTCCTCTCGAGGGACGCCATTGCCCAGTACACGAGTACACGGTCCATGTACAGCATATACCGCACTGCACTGTATACCGTACACGAGCCCCCGGCGCTGGCGCGCGACGGGTGGGCAAAGGTGTGTGTGCAATGTATTAAAATCACGGTGCATATCGCGCATGATAAAAAACTTTATTTGCAACCAGGGAGAACCCGTGCGCCGCCAGGGCGCGCGAAGCCCGCGCGAAGGCGGCGCCAAGGTGCGCGAAGGTGTGTGAAGGTGCGTGAAGGTGCGTAAAGGTGGCCGCGATATAACATTACTTGTAAAGCCGGCGCGAATAAAGCCGGCCACCCAATGCGCCGCGCTGTGCCGCTGTGCCGCCGCGTGGTGCATGGCGGCGGCGGTTTGGCGCCCGGCCGCGCCGCGCCGCGCCCGGCCGCATGTTGCACGCATGCCGCCGCCGCCGCCGCGCGCGCGGGCCCCAGCCGACAGGCGTTTGCGCGCAGCGCCGTGGCCCGGCCGCACGCGCGAACAGCGACATACTGTACGGCAGCGCGCCATTGCTTACATTGCGTGCGGCCCCGATTTCCATCATCAACACGTTCATACAGTACGAAGGGTATCATACTGTGTGGATCATGTACAGTAACATTGCATCTTGATCGTTGCATCTTGATCGCAACAGCGCTGAGACCCGATTGGCGTGCACCACCGGGAGACGCCCGAGGACTAAACCCCGAGGGCGACCGCAGCAGGAACGCCCCGCTATCGAGGATACCTCGATGGGTAGAGTGCAACTTTTACAGCACTCTCTACAATCGCAGATG